TCTCTCTCTCCCTCTCTCTCTCTCTCCCTCTCTCTCTCTCTCTCTCTCTCTGGTTTTTTGAGACAGGATTTCTCTGTGTTGTTTTGGAGCCTGTCCTGGATCTCACTCTGTAGACCAGGATGGCCTTGAACTCACAGAGATCCGCCTGGCTCTGCCTCCCGAGTGCTGGGACTAAAGACGTGCGCCACCACCCGGCAGAAGATTTTTCTCATATACTGAGCATCATGAAGAGTAAGAGATAAGGGAACAAGTGTCCACAACCGTGTTTCAGAAATTCTGCCCTGCATTTTTCTTCTTTCTTTCTTTTCTTTCTTTCTTTCTTTCTTTCTTTCTTTCTTTCTTTCTTTCTTTCTTTCTTTCTTTCTTTCTTTCTCTCTTTCTTTCTTTCTCCCTTTCTATCTATCTTTCTTTCTTTCTTTTTTTGGGGACAGGGTTTCTCTATGTAGTCCTGGCTGTCCTGGAACTCGCTCTGCAGTCCAGGGTGGCCTCAAGCTCACAGAGACTCACCTGCCTCTCAAGTGCTGGGATTAAAGGCCTGTGCCACCGCCACCCAGCTAATTCTACATTTCTTGTACTCACCCCAAGTTCATCCTTTTGATTGGAACCATCAGGGCTCCAGGAGTGGACACTGCCCTGGTTAGGTTTTCTCTACTTGACACAAACCAGAATCATCCGGGAAGAGGGAACCTCAGCTGAGAAAATGCCTCGCCAGGTTGGCCCGTGATTTCTTTACTTGATATTGATCAATGTGGGTGGGGCCACCTGAGCAGGTTGGATAAAAAGACAGGCTGAGCAAGCCGTAGGGAATTAGGCATAAGCAGCCACCTCCATGCCCCCCGGTTCCCCTCCATGATAGACTCTAACCTGTGTACCAAGTAAACTCTCTCTTCCCCAAGTTCCTTTTACTCTTTGTCATAGAAACAGGAAGCACCCTAGGTTTGCTTTTCCATTGTCTCTCTGCAGATCACAATAGTAGAAAAGAGAAGAAATTGGTAGTGTCTTAGTTAGGGTTTCTAGAGCGGTGAAGAGACAACATGACCATGGCAACTCTTATGAGGAAAACGTTTGAGGTGGCAGCTTACAGTTCAGAGGTTGGTTCAGTTCATTATCATCATGGTGGGAAGCTCAGCGTCATGCAGGCAGACATGGTGAAGGAGCTGCTACATGTTGATATGCAGACACCAGGAAGTAGACTGTGTCACTGGGCATGGCTTGAGCATCTATGAGACTTCAAAGCCTGCCTCCACAGTGACACACTTCCTCCAACAAGGCCACACCTACTCTCCAACAAGGCCACACCTCTTAATAGTGTCACTTCCTTTGGGGGCCATTTTCCTTCAGACCATCACAGACAGCAAGAAAGCTCAGTAGGAAGACAACATTTGGTGCCAAGCCTGAGGACCCGAGTTTGATTCCTAAGACCCACATGGTGGAAGGCAAGAACAGACTCTAGAGAGCGGTGCTCCCACACGTGAATGCTGGCAAGAGTCTCAGGAAAGGGGCTGCAGGGATGGGTCAGTGGTTAAGAGCACGGGCTGCTCTCCCTGAAGACCCACATGCCAGCTCCAGGGCTCTGATGCCCCTCCTGGCTGCCATTGGGTACCCAGCACATACCTGGAGCACAGACACACATGCTGGCAATGCACTGGTACACATGAAATGAAAAGGTAATATCGGTGAGGAATGGACCCTCCACATTTGCATGCGGTGAGTGTGAGGCTAGCCTGGGATCCACCCTGCACCATCATTCTTTCCTTGGTTCCTTCTGAAGCTTGACCAGCTTTGTGAGGGAGGGACACAGCTCTGCTCAGACCCTGTCTTGGTAGCTTCCATGTGTAGTTTGAAGGAGACTCCCGGCATGTACTTGCGTGGATCTGCATGTGTGAGCACATTCCTAGATCTACACATGTGCTGGAGTGCTGGCTCATGTCTGTGGAGGTGAGTGGCCAACACTGGCTGTCAGACCTCAGGGACGTTCACTTTTTTACATTTATTATTGATTTTCCTACTGAGCACACTCGCATATGTGCGGCTGTTCCCATGTGCAAGCCCCGCTACTTGTGAGATTCAGTTCTGTCTCTCTGCGGGTCCTGGGGATTGAACTCAGATCATCAGGCTTGGTGGCAAGCTCCCCCTACCAGCTGAGCCGTCTTACTGGCCCCTCTCTCACTTGTCCCTTTCTATAGCCCAGGGTGGCCTGGAACTCAAAACAATCCTCCTGCCTCGGTCTGTCAAGTGTTGAAATTACAGATACAAGCCGCCATGCCTGGCTTTACCATCCTCTTACAAAGCAGTAAGGCTTCCCAAATATCTGGAGATTTCCTTAAGAACCTCACCACTGACCCAGGAACAACACAGCTCCCTTTTGGTTGTCCTGCCCCCTAGCAGATGGTGGACTTGCATGGTATCTACTCTCTGCTCCATTACGGGGTGTAAGACCCAAGGGCCTTGCGTGAGAACTTCCCGCAGTTTCTCTAGCTCACAGGGTAGGGCTCAATCTGTGATCCCACACCAGTCACACGAGTGGGGGATGGGGTCTGCCACATGCCCACAATGGCGTCACTTGATGTTTTTTCCTAAATGTCATTCGCTCTATTTTACCAATAAGGACTCGGGAACCAGAAGCTGGGGTGAAAGCCTGCTAGCTCAGAGAGGCCGAGAAAGCACCCCACTGACCTTCCTCCTCCTTCATCATCATCATCATCCCAGAAAAGACTCCCTTTCTCCTTTAATGTCTTAAATAAACAAAAACTCAAACTGAGTGTCTCTCCCTTCTACTTCCTGTGTGTCTCTCTCCATCCTCCTGACTCCCCCTTACTCTCTATGGTTTTTTTCTTGTTCATTTCCTATCAACTGGTTGCTTGCTCCACCTCTAGACCATTGGTTGACTTCATTTAATCCTATTTACAGTAAGCAGAAAGCTCTTGGATTAAAGGTGTGTGCTAGGGCTGAGCCAGGCCTCAGCTAGAAACAGGTTTTTTCAGTCAATAATGCAACCTCAGGGTTCACAGTGTGATCAGATGTCCCATGTGAGCCACTGGTGTCACTGAAGGCAGAGATGGGCTGGCGAGGGAGAGGGAGCCAGCTTCTGGGAATGGGGGGAGGTTTTGCCCTTGTTCGGGTACATTTCTGTACATTTAGGAAGACAACAGTTATCAGGACCCCATGACCTCCCCAGGCACTGGCTCTTGACCAGGTCTTCAGGAGAGCAGGTGTCAAATCTGATCGGAAATGACAGTCATGCCACTACCACACCAGAGTAGCATCTGTCTGCCACGACCACGCTGCGGCCCCAGGGTCCAGTGTGAGTGCCCACATGTGTTGGGGCCAGAGGACAGCTCCAGGAGCGGGTTGGCTCCTTCCCCAATGTGGGGCCTGGGCAGCAAGCGCTTTTACCCAATGAGGAATCTCATTGGCCCAAACCCTTTTTTAAACTGTATTGTTGCCAGATGTGGTGGTGCACGCCTTTAATGCCCACACTTGGGAGGCAGAGGCAGGCAGATCTCTGAGTCTGAGGCCAGCCTGGTCTGCAGGGCAAGTTCCAGGAATGCCAGGGCTACACAGAAAAACCCTGTCTCAAGAAAAAAGAAGAAGAATAGTTTGTTTTACTGAGACAGGTTGTTACTCTGCAGTCCAGGCTAGCTCAAACTCACAAAGATCCTTCTCCCTCGGTCTCTCAATTATATGACTGTAAGAAGTCATAATGGATAGATTCTCTTCCTGGGGAGATGGACATGGTCACTGTCAGAATTGGGTGATGTGGAGTACTCACTGGTCAGTGCCAGCCACCATAAATCTGTACACTTACTGTACGTCATATGATGTTGAGGCAGTCTCACATAGCCCAGGCTAGCTTCAAATTCCCTATGTAGCTGAGGTTGACCTTGAACTCCTGATTCTCCTGCTGGATGACAGGTGTGTGTCACCATGCCTGGCTTGTGTGGTGTGTCACCATGTGGTGCTGGGAGTTGAACCCAGGCCTTTATGCATGCCAGGTAAGTGCTCTACCCACCGAACTACGGCCCCAGCCTGGCTTTTCATTTTTTGTGTTGCTTGTTTTATGAGTCCAGGTTTTCACTCTGTAGCCCAGGCTGGCCTGGAACTCATGATCTTCCCTCCCCATCTTCCCAAGTCCTGGGATGACAGGTGAACTCCACCCCAGTGGGTCTTACTCTGGATCGAGATTGCAGGGTTTCGACGCAGACTGATTGTGTCCACATCTAGCCACTTTCCTTCCTGGAGTTGTTGCTTTCTGAGCCTCTTCAGAGCTGGGTCATACGGACATAGGGCCATCTGGGTCACACAGACCAGGATTTTATCCCAATTATCCCAGCTACAAGGAGCTGAGACAAGCCAGCTTGCCATTGACACCCCCCTCTCTCTGTCACACACACACACACACACACACACACACACACACACACGTTTGGCCTGTAGGTTCAACACTGTTCTCTGCATGACCCGGCCTGCCATCCACCCTCCTCTTCCTCCCAGCTGAATTGGCATAGAATGCCCTCTTAAGACATTTTATTATTTATTTATTTAGCAAGTTAGTTTTTTCAAGACAAGGTTTCTCTGTGTAGCTCTGGCTGTCCTGGAACTCACTCTGTAGACCAGGCTGGCCTTGAACTCAGAGATCCACTTGCATCTGCCTCCCCGAGTGCTGGGATTAATGGAGTGAGCCACAACTACCTGGCTATTTAAACCATTTAAATGACAATTACCAACCCATATCACATTCACAGTGTCCTGTAATCATCACCACATCCAAATTCCAGAACATTCCATTAACCTAAAAAGAAACCCAGTCCCCATAAGTAGTCACCCTATGCCATCCATCCCTAGAGGCAGCAATCATATCCTCTCCCCAGTTCCCAGCACCCACAGTCCTCTTCTGTCCTTTGGATTCCCCTGTCTGTGCTGTGTGAAATCCTGTGTCTGGGTCTCGCACTCAGCACAGTGTCTGTCCTTGGTAGTTTTGCTCCTGTTCATGGTTGAGTAATGCTTCATTGCTTGAGTCCACTCTTTGAAAATATGTATTTTCCTTTTGTATTGGTGATGGGGAGGGTTTGTGCACATGACTTCAGTGCTCACAGAGGCCATGGGACCCTCTGGAGCTGCGGTTACAGTTGTGAGCTGCCATGTGGGTGCCAGGGACCGAACCTGCATCCTCTGCAAGAGCAGACAGTAATCTAACTGCTGAGCCATCTCACCTGAAGACCTGAGGGCAGAGGCTATACTGTAGCCTTTTACCTAAGAGGCTAAGGTCCAGAGAGGTAAAGCACGTGGTTCAGGGAAGCTCAGCCAGAAGGAAGCAACTGGGATCCATTCAGCTTGGGGCCCAATCCTACGAGGTTCTTTGATACTTTACAGACTTCTGATAGTCTGGTGTTCCCTGGCATCATGGTCTGTGTTGTTTGTTGAGATATAGCCTCTCAATGTTGTCCAGGCTGGGTCCTCCAGGCCTCAGCTTCTGGGGTGAGGGGATTATGAGTCAGTCATGAAGCCTGACTGCCGCATAACACTGATGAGGTCTCTCTGACTTTCCCGAACAGGGGCTTGAGGTGATGACTCCATCAGTCATTCCCAGACACCAGGACCCTGAAGGTCTCTGCTTGGAATCTGCTGTATCGTGTAATTTTATTTGGGAGACACAGAAGGTACGATTCAGAAGTCCAATGACATCCCCCTACCTCCACAACCCAGCCCCCCATCCCTGCTCAGCAACCACAGAGATCACCACCCCAGGGAGGGTGGGAGTTGCCCAGAGAGCCTTGATTACTTCCTACTCCTTAATGGGTCCTTCAGAAGAGTGGTTTTTGGTTTCCATGGCAACAAGCAGGCAGCAGCAAAAGGGAAGCAGCTTCCCGAGCTTCCTCCCCCTCCCATAACTACTTCTGGAAGCCAATCTCTCCACAGCTGAACCTGAGGGCCAGGGAGATGCCTGCCAGAGACCACAGAGACACCTGTAAGTGGGTGCAGCTTCCTGGCCTGTGCACAGTGGGAGCATGATCCTGGTCTATCCAGCTGAAGGAAACGCAGAAAAACTGTTTATGACTCTGGATGTGGCCCCACCTAGAATCCACCAGTGAGGGTCTAGGGCCGTGGCTGTGGAAAGTAAGCCTCAGTTACCTTTTATCCACTCAATAGAATTTATGGCATTGACCCTGGGCTTTCCAAGGCCTGTGATCATTGGGGCTGTTGCCCCCTGCTGTCCACTATGGGAACTGCAGCCACCTGTGGCTTTTAGGTCAGGCTGGGAGGAGCCCAGATCAGGCTAAGGTGTCCCAACTTGGTGTCCACCAGAGTTGGGCCTAGTGCAGCCCACCTCTGTTTCCAGTCCTTGGCAGTTCCAGTCCAGTGCTGGAGATGACAGGCGTGGCCCATGTGCTAGTTTTCCATAACACGTTGGCATCAAACACTGATTTTTTTCTCCTGGCTACTCAGGTCAGCACGAGTTTTCTCAGTTTCTCTGTCTCTCCCCGGCTGCTGGTACCTATAACTCGGTGTCTCCCCACAGCCTGCTCATCCCTATAGATTCCAACCTCTGTCTGACTCAGAACTGGCCTCGGTGTAAATAGTGTCCAACCTCTATGGACCACAGGCAGAGCATACATCTGCAGCTATGATGCCTCAGCCCTTAATCCCAGCACTCAGGAGGCAGAGACAGGTGGATCTCTGTGAGTTCCAGGGCAGCCTGAGCTACATAGTAAGCAAAAAATGAGAGAAGTGGGGAAGATATATCTGTCCAGATTCAATATAGTTTTGTTTTGTTTGTTTGTTTATTTTGGGGTTTTTTTTTGGTTTTTTTTTTTTTTTTAAGTTAGTTTTTTTTTGGGTGTTTTTGTTTTTCGAGACAGGGTTTCTTTGTAGCTTTGGAGCCTGTCCTGGACTGGCTCTGTAGACCAGGCTGGCCTCGAACTCACAGAGATCCGCCTGGCTCTGCCTCCCGAGTGCTGGCATTAAAGATGTGCGCCACCACCGCCCGGCATGTAGCAGGACTTTGTGCCCTCCTTCTACCACGTGGGTTCTGGGGTCAAAATCAGGTCGTCATGTTTGGCAGCATGCACTTTCACCCCCTAGGGCCCTCACCAGGTCAGACATATTTTTTTAATTTGAGACAGAGTCTTGTTATATAGCCCAGGCTAGCCTGCTCAACATATTCCTGCCTCACCCCGGCCCCATGCTGGGAAGAAGGTGTGCACAGCGATGGCAGGCTGCACACTATTCAAGGAGCATTTTAGAATCTAAAGTTGTCAGCCGGGCAGTGGTGGCACACATCTTTAATCCCAGCACTCGGGAGGCAGAGCCAGGCGGATCTCTCTGAGTTCAAGGCCAGCCTGGGCTACACAGTGAGATCCAGGACAGGCACCAAAACTACGCAGAGAAACCCTGTCTCAAAAAACCAAAAAAATAAAATAACATGAAAAACTCAAGCTAGAGTGTCCCCAGTTTAGAAGGTGTCTTCATTTCTCTTCCCGTAGCTGTGATTTAATGCTCTGACAACAAACACCAAACTCAGAAGAGGAGGAGAGGGCCGGGAAGTGCACTCTGCAGGTAAAGTGAGGCGGTTGGAGTATGACTGTGGGGTGTGGGACCCACTGCTATCCCAGCCTCCGAAGGCAGAGACTGGATGCTGCTGGGCAGCAGAGATGGCCGAGTGGTTAGAGCATGGGCTGCTCTTGCAGAGGGTGGAGCTTGGCCTCAGCACCCACATGGTTGCTCATCCAACCATCTGTAAGCCCAGTTCCAGGGATCTGACGCCCTCTTTTGGCCTGTGAGGGCACCTGCACCCACACCCACAGTAATAAAAATGAAACGTGTCTTTAGAGACTACACAATGTGTTGGAGAAGTGGGTCAGTGGCCATCACTTGCCTGGCGTTTGCAGAGGACCCTTCCACAGCACCATGAGAACAAGTCAGAGTTGAAGCGGTCCAGCCTGGGTTTGTCCAGGAAGATCCACCATTGCACATTGGTTTAACCTCCCAGGTACCTCCCCACTTCCCTCTCGGATCCTTTCTTTCTCTCCTTTCTTCTTCTCTTCTCTTCTCTCTCTCCCTCCCTCACTCTCTCTCTCTGGTTTGGTCCTGTGTCCTGGCTGCCACCACCCACTTCTAAATGCCTTTCATCCCTGGCATCCAATCAATAAAAATTTACAGCATGAGCAAAGCTATTCCGATCTTGGCTTGGCCACCCTGGGGTCTGTGCTACCATTTCCTCTACTTTCTGAATGTTTAAAAACAATATTTTTTTTTTCATTAAACATACCGCGAAGGTCCCTGCGGGAAGAGGCCCGGCAAACCCCTAACCGTCTCTTGGGTGGCTGGAGCAGGCGGCTCAGGCCCAGCTCTGCATGAGAGGTGGAGGGCAGGGTCTCGGAGGTGGTTTATGGCTAATCACACCCAGTGGGATGCGCCTGGCAGGCAGCCCAGAACGTGCCCATGCGCGGCAGACAGATGTCCAAAGCTGAGGAGGACACAGAGGGGGCAGGGACAGACTCATGAGGCACAGACGCAAGGATGCAGCCCCCACTGGGTCTCCTCGGAGCTGACCCCCCTGGAGGCTTGAGGGGGGAATAGAGAAATAAAGGTTGAAAATGAAGAACAACAACCAGGGGGACGGTTGGACAAAGATGCTGCTGCCGAGCCTGAAGACCTGAGTTCGATCCCCTGAGCCCACGTGGGGGAAGGAGAGAGCTGTGTGCGGTGGCGCGCATGCGTCCGTACGCGACAACACAATTTTAAACGGCTTTTCCCTTTTCCGCTCTGGGTGTGTGTGCCCGTGTGAGCAGCACACGGATGGATGTCACTGGACAACCCTTGGGAGCCAGGTCTCACCTTCCATCACGTGGGTGCGGGGACTTGACGTCAGCACGAGCTACGTGAAGTCATCTCACTCCGGGCCCGGGGGATGACGGGCAGTGACGTGGACCCAGCTGCAGGGGACCCGGCGCCCATGTGGCTGGCACACGTGCTTCTTTAAAAAAAGAAAGTATTACCCAGCATGGAACCCGGGACTGCTTAACGTGCAGCCAAGCACGCTCAGGGCGAGTGGGGTCCCCGTCTCTGCCTCAGTCGCCCAGCGAGGCCAGATCTGCGCGGACACCCGGCGCGCCCCCTGCTGGTCAGCGGCTTCATCACACAAAGCTTTCCTCGCGCCCCGAGACCCGACGTCGCTGCGGATAGGCTCGCGTCACCCTCGGTGCCCGCTGGGAAATGTAGTCACTGCGCGGACACGAAAACAGGAAGTGCGTCACAACACTGGCCAGGGTCGCACACAGTGTGCCGCCTGTCATTTACATTTGGCCGCGGGTGGCCCAAGGCCCTCTGGGAAATGTAGTCTCTTTGGGGCAGGCGGGCATGTTTTTCCTGCGCTCTGGGCGGTACCGACAGGAACAGGACGTACGTCATCAGCGGGCCGACCCGCTCAGAGCCCCTCAAAGCACAGCGCACAGCGTTGCATGATGGGAACTGTAGTCTTTCAACGGCTACGCCCGTCCTCCGAGCTGCAGGAGTGCGGACCCCCGCTTCCCAGTGCCGCACACGCGCACGCCCACTTAGTCTTGCAGGACAGGGCTTCCCCCCTCCGCGCTCCGTCACCGGAAGCACAGTTCCCACCGTGCCCTGGTTCGCCGCGGGCCGCGGAAACGGAGCCTTCGCGGCGGGGGGTGAGGAACGCCACCGGAAGTACGGAACAGGCTTTCCGGGCTCCGGGACGGCTTGCCACCTCCACGCCTCGTGCGGAAGGTTCCGGGAAACGTCATTTCTAGGGGGCAGCGCGCTTGCCCCCCCGTCTAATCGCGGCCGGTGACGGCAGCCGGAAGTGCGTCATCGATCTTCCCAGGGCCGCACACAACCTTAGCGCCTGCCCTGACAGACGTTGGAAACTGAGAGGCTTTCTGAGAAATGTCCTCTGGGGGACGACGGAGCGGGAATGTTGCTTCCTGCAGCCCGCCTCACACGCAGTAACGGAGTCCGTCACCCGATTCCCCAGGGTCGCGCTGACCATTGGCCTTGCTTGTTCTTCCGTCGGGGCTTTGCCCACGGTTCCCAGCGGCTCTCCCAGTTCCTTTCGGGAAATGTAGTCTTCTCTCACCTGCGCTTACATCGGCACGTCCTGGCGGGGGCGTGCTCGCGGGACTCCATTTCCCAGCATGCCTGCGCGGCGTCCCTCCGCGCCCCGTCGCTGGGGGCCATTTTGTTCCGCCGGAGGCCGCTGAGATGGCGGCGGGGGAGAAGGTGAAGGTTGTTCCTGGCGGCAGGCGGCCGGGGTAGGGCCGGCAGCGCGGCGTCCGGCATGGATCTGCACACAGCCGTGTACAACGCGGCGCACGACGGCAAGCTGCAGCTGCTGCAGAGGCTGCTGGCCGGCCGCGGGCGGGAGGAGCTGGACGAGCTGCTGGGGGAGGTGGCGGGCGGCGGGACGCCGCTGCTGATCGCCGCGCGCCGCGGGCACCTGGACGTGGTGGAGTTCCTGGTGGACCGCTGCGGCGCCAGCGTGGAGGCGGGCGGCTCGGTGCACTTCGACG